CTCTCTCTCTGTCAAATAAATAAAATCTTTAAAAATAAATAAAGTTTATTTATTTATAATCTCTACACCCAACATGGGGCTTGAACTCACAAACCAGAGATTGAGTCACATGCTCCACAGACTGAGCCAGTCAGGTGCCCCAAATGGCATTTCTTTAAACCAAAAAAACTCCTAATTCAATATAACCAGTCCATTCTGTACTCAGAAATTAACATGGATGCTTCTGATACAAAAAAGTCATATCTATATCTTAAGCTAAAATCTTATTTCACACAGTCACAGTGAAATCTATTCTCCTTGATGGAGAGGCATTCTCCTCACTTTACAGTATCATTAAGGAAAAACAGGCTTGAATTACCTGAGAATAACTTCACCTTCAGCATTCACAAAGCTGTGACATTTAGAGTGACAGTCATATCTTTATCACCTTAATCATCCACATTATGTAAAACATTACCTCTCCTTTTCACTAAACATGGTCAATGACACCTTTCCTTTGTCTTTTCCTTCTCAATACATACACTATACACTTTAAGACTGTCAGTCCCTCCGTATTTTCACTATCCTATTTCCTAAGACTTGATTTCATACTCTACAAGCTTATTAGAATGATTCAACATTGTCTTTATCTTATCTGAAATATCCACAAATCAGAAACCCTGACCCAAAGAACCTAAATAAAGAAGTGATTATGAGAGTAAATGCTATTTTTAAAAGACACACTGTGTAAGATACATTTTTTTATTGTATAAAAAAGGTATAAAATGTGGATTTGATATAATTCCAATTTTTACTTTTTCCTCTACTTGTCCCTGGGAGTACTAATGTCAGGATTTGGTTTTTTCTCTATTTCTATTTTCTTAATGTCCCATACTGGGCATATATTTTCTCCTATAATCAATAAAAATTAAAACAACTTATTATTTTAAAAAAACAGAACACTCTTCTTACAGAATATATATAGTCATGGAATAAAAAGATCATAGTTAATAATCATTTGTTTATTATTTTTTGGAAACTTTGACCAGCAGGGAAGTATGAGGATTTTTAGAAATCACCAGGGTACAGTGAAAGTTGCCAATAAAAATATAAAATAATACAGATGTTGTTATGAAGCAGAAACATGTTATGTTTTAAATAAATCAGTATCCTTAACTATTAAAAAAAAAAAAAGAACACTCTCAGAATTAGAAATTATACAGAAGTGAGAGTCAGTGAGAAAACCCTATTCAAACCATTAATATGACCAACACATAATGGTTACTTAAAGAGGTGTCTCTATATGTGTGTGCCCACATGCACATGTGCTTGGGTTTAATTTAGGACTTTGATCTTACTTATTCTAAAAAGAATTTGAAGAAAAACAGAATAGGATTCAAAACCCTTCTCCAAATCAATGTGATCCATCACATTAACAGAATGAAAGAAAAGAATCACAGGGTCACCTCAAAAGATACAGAAAAAGCATTTGACAAAACTCAACAATCACTCATGATAAAGACATTTAACAAATTACGGATAGACCAAACATATCTCAATATAATAAAGGCCATATATGACAAGCCCACGGCTAACATCATACTCAAAGAAGAAAGGCTGAGAGCTTTTCCTCTAAGATCAGGAACAAGACAAAAGTGTCCACTCTTACCACTCCTATTCAACATAATACTGGAAGTCCTAGTCAAAACAATCAGGCAAGAAAAACAAACAAAAGGCATCAGAATGGGAAAGGAAGAAGTGAAATTGTCTCTATTTGTAAGTGACATGATTTTATATATAGAAAATCCTACAGACTCAGCCCCAAAACTATTATATTTAATAAAAAATTCAGTCAACTTTGCAGGATACAAAATCAACACACAGAAATCAGTAGCATTTCCATACACGAACAGTGAACTATCTGAAAAACAAATCAATTCCATTTACAATAGCATCAAAAACAATAAAATATTCTATAATAAATTTAACCAAGGAGGTGAAAGATCTCTATTCTGAAAACTACACAACACTGGCAAAAGAAATCAAAGACACAAATAAATGGGAAGGTATCCCACATTCATGGATTGGAAAATTAATATTATTAAAATGTTACTAAATTATGTAATTTAATTACATAATTAAATATTAGTTAATATCACTAAAATATTAAAACAATACTACCAAAATCCATCTATAGATTCAATGTAAGCCCTATCAAGATTCCAATGGCATTTTCTACAGAAGTAGAACAATCCTAAAATTTCCATGGACCCACAAAAGACCCAAAATATCCAAAGCAATTCTGAGAAAGAAGAACAAAGCAGGAGGCATCACACTTCCTCATTTAAAGCTATACTATAAAGCTGTATTAATCAAAGCAGTATGGTACTGGCATAAAAACACACCAGTGAGGGATGTCTGGGTGGCTCAATCAGTTAAGTGTCTCCTTTCAGCTCAGGTCGTGATCCCAGGGTTCTGGGATTGAGTCCTGCATCGGGCTCCCTGCTCAGCGGGGAGCCTGCTTCTCCCTCTGCCTGCTGCTCTCTCATTCTCTCTCTCTCTGACAAATAACAAAATAAAATCTTAAAAAAAAAAAAAAGAAAAATCTTACTTTATAAAAAAAAAAAAGAAAAGAAAAGAAAAAACACACCAATGGACAGGAACAAACCCAAGTATATATGGTCAACTAATATCTGACAAAGGAGCCAAGACTACTCAATGGAGAAATGACAATCTCGAAAAATGGTGCTGGGAAAATTCAATATTCACGTGTAAAAGAATGATACTAGACCCCATCTTAAACCACTCACAAAAACTAACTCGCAGTGGATTAAAAACTTAAATATAAGACCTGAAACCATGAAACTCCTAAAAGAAAAAACAGGAAAAGAGCTCCTTCATATGGGTCTTAGCAATGATTTTTTTGAAATGACACCTAAAGCACAAGCAACGAAATAGAACATAAACAAATGGGACTACACCAAACCAAAAAACTTCTGCACAGCAAAAGAAACAATCAACAAAGTGAAAAAGATAATCTATGGAATGGGAAAAAAAATATCTGCAAACCATATATTTGATAAAGGGTTAATATCCAAAATATATAAAGAACTCATACCACTTGATGGCAAAAAAAAAAAATAAAATAAAACCCCCAAATAATTCAATTAAAAAATAGGCAAAGAAACTGAACAGACATTTTTCCAAAGAAAATATATGAAAGGCCAACAGGTTCATGAAAAGATGCTCAACATCACTAGTCATTAGGGAAATGCAAATCAAAACCACAAGGAGCTATCACCTCACACCTGTTAGCACGACCATCATCAAAAAGATAAGAGATATCAAATGCCGGCGTGAATGTAGAGAAAGGGACCCTTGTGCACTGTTGATGGGACTGTAAATTGCTACAGCTATTATGGAAAACAGTATGGAGGATCCACAAAAAATTTAAAAGTAAAACTACCATATGATCCGGCAATTTCACTTCTGGGAATATATCCAATGTAAATGAAAACACTAACTCGAAAAGATATTTGTACCCCTATGTTCCCAGCAGCACTATTTACAACAGCCAAGACATGGAAACAACCTAAGTGTCCACAGATGGGTGAATGGATAACGCTGTGGCAGATACAAACAATGGGATAAAAAGCAAAGAAATCCTGCCATTTGTGGCAGCATGGATGAACCTTGAAGGCATTATACTGAGTGATTAAGTCAGACAAAGACAAATACTGTATGATCGCACTCATACGTGGAATCTAAGAGCAAACACAAAAAACTCATAGAAAAGGATCAGATTTGTGTTTACCGGAGGCAGGGGTGGGAGAGGGAACTGGAGGAAAGTGGTCAAAAGGTACAAACTTCTAATTGTAAGACAGAGAAGTACTGAAGATGAAATGTACATGATGCCTATAGTTACCACTACTGTATGATATGTATGAAAGTTGTTAAGAGAATAAATCCTAAGACTTTCCATTATATCTAAAAAAAAAGTGGTGTTTTTTTTTTATTTTATTTATTTCAGAGAAAGACAAAGAGAACATGAGTGGGGGGAGGGGCAGAAGGAGAGGGACAGACTCCCTGCTGAGCAGAGAGCCCAATGCGGGTCAGATCCCAGGACCCTGAGATCATGACCTGAGCTTAACCAACTGAGCCACCCAGCTTTTTTCTTTTTTTCCCATTTCTTTTTATTATATCTGTAGGAGATGATGGACATTAACTAAACTTACTGTGGTAATCATTTCACAAGTCAAACCTTTATGCTGTACATCTAAGACCCATACAGTGATATATGTCAATTATATCTCAATAAAACTGGAGGCAAAAAACTTTTTTCTTTTGGGGTGCCTGGGTGGCTCAATCGGTTGAGCGTCCAACTCCTGACTTTGACTCAGGTCATGATCTCAGGGTAACTGGATGGGGCTGCATGTCAGGCTCCCTGATCAGTGGGGAGTCTGCTTGAGATTCTCTCCCTCTCTCTCTGCCCCTCCCCCTGCTCACACTTTTTCTCTCTCCCTCAAATAAATAAGTGAATCTTTGGAAAACAAACAAACAACAAAAATACTTTCTCCTTTTGACTAGAAATGTGCTAACAAGTAACTATTTAATAATGTGTATCAGTAAAATTAAAGTAATATAACATGAAACCTGACCTGTAGTGACAGTCTGCTCGAACACAGAGTTTCCACTCTCGCTGGAAAACCCACCACTCTTCTTTCCATTCTTCAAAGACCTTCCGAAGTATTCTTTGCTCATAGTAAAACCTTCAGCAATGAACAAAAATCAGAAAGATCCATGATGATGTGGGAGCTGATATTTATTTCCAAATTAGTTTCATATTGCCTTTACTTTCTCACAGAAAAGTGTGGCTCATTATATATATATATATATAAAGAAAGAATTTATTTATTTGAGACAGAGAGAATGAGAGGGAGGAGGGTCAGAGGGAGAAGCAGACTCCCCGCCGAGCAGGGAGCCCGATGTGGGACTCAATCCCGGGACTCCAGGATCATGACCTGAGCCAAAGGCAGTCGCTTAACCAACTGAGCCACCCAGGCGCCCTATTTTTTTTTTTTTTTAAGATTTTATTTATTTGACACAGAGAGACACAGCAAGAGAGGGAACACAAGCAGGGGGGTAGGGAGAAGCAGGCTTCCTGCGGAGCAGGGAGACCAATGCCGGGCTCAATCCCTCAATCCCAGGACCCTGGGATCATGACCCAAGCCAAAGGCAGATGCTTAACGACTGAGCCACCCAGGCACCCCCATGGCTCATTATTTGACAACACCAGAATAGAATAAAAACAGATATTTTTCAGATCAGAACGACTTAAATTAGAAAGAAAGCTAAAAAATGATATACAATAGATCTTACCAATTAAAGAGGTTAAAGTAAAATAAAAATCTGACTTTCCAAATACCACAAGTGAGTTGAGAATTATTATCCAGTTTTTTTTTTTCCCTTCATCAGACTAAAAATATTTTTGATTAGTAAAAAGTGGTAGCTACACTTCCCATTTACATATACAGGAGATTAAAAATTATAAGCAAATGCCTAATGGTATTCCTAGTACTTACAGGAACAGAGCATATTAGTTTAACTGAAATCTGGCCAGAGGAGTTATAAAAACAGCCAAAGGGAGGTAGAGGAAATAAAGAGGGGCCAAAGGCGATATAAAGAAAATAAGAGCAATGGCAGATTGTGTTGATGCTAACAGGCACTGTTCGAGGTGACTGATAACTCAAGAACTCTGTGCCTGCCAGTCACTTTGAATTTCTATTCATGGTTCTGCAGGTTACTAACATGTTCTTCCTCCTCAGCACTCATGGTTTCTAAAAGACTAGCTAGCAAAAATATACATGAGGAAATTCACTTCACTATTGTTCATAATAAAAAAAAGAGAGAGAAAATTACAACAAATGCCCCTCAAAAGGGGATAGGTTAAATTCAATCAATGCCACCTAGTCATTTTTTATGAAGTAGAGCTAAGTGATACTGAAATGGAGAGATGTTCCAGAGAAGGTGTTAGGTGAAAAGATAAAGCTACCTAATAGTATGTATGACACCATTTTTAAATATTAATTTTTTTGTATTTCCAGTACCCATATGTTGGAATTAACATAATACATACCCAATTTAAATATATTTACATATGTATATAATGTATGAACACATATTTGTATACATATATAAAAACTTATCTACGTGTATATGCATGCACTGTGTGTACATATATAAATGATTATATTATACATATTAAAAGCCTGAAAAGGTTTCCAGGATACCAAACTATTACCAGTGGTTATCTTTCAGGGAGAGATTATAGGAGACTGCTGTTTCCTATTACACATGTCTATAGCTTGAAAAATTTTTTAAACAACTTTGCTCATGATTTTTAAAAATTTTAATGGAAAAGGGGCGCCTGGGTGGCTCAGTCGTTAAGCTGCTGCCTTCGGCTCAGGTCATGATCCCAGGGT